AAATCAGTGAACCCTAGAATGGCGTGTAAAAATGCTAGCGGGCATTGTTATGCGCGCTAACATACTCGCTGCTGAAAATAAAGAAGTATATGCATGATAATGTCGTTTTTGGCGGGGGGGTGGGTGGGGGGGGGGGGGGGGGGGGGGCGGAAGGGGGGGGGGGGGGGGGCAGCGCTGCCGATACTGGATTATAGTGTGTTTATACTTAGAATTCAGTGAAATTTTGTCATTCCTTTCAGCACCATTCATGTTTTGGGCAATAATTACAATGATTTGTAATTTATTCTTAACAGAAGAAAAAGACGGAATTAAAATTAAATGAGCCAATATTACATAAATCCCATTCCACAGCCACAATCGATTTATAGATGATTTGTTTTGTTGGAGAACTAGAAGGTGTGATTAACATAGTGTCTTTACTATGAGATATGGTGAAAAGAGAACTTTGAAATTGTTACTCTTGTCTAATTATCTTAAAAATATTTCCATTAGGCAACGTTAGTCTATATAGGTTCTCTACAGCCTAGGTAATTTATGTTTTTCCTAGAGGTTTGGTAGACTCCTTAACATAAAAATCGCACCCAACGTTGGAGCCGAACGGTCAACTATAGCAATGTTTTGAATTTGTCTTCATACCTTTTTTGGTCTCCGATAGAATTCTTATACATTTCTTATGAGTAATAAATAGTGGTTTTAACTGGATATTAGGAATACCTCCCCACACAGAAATAGCAAAACCGAGATGAGTTTCAAGAGAGAATGGTAAATTTGTTTATATAGTGAATCTGGTAAGCATTTCTTAATACGTAGATACGTTCCACAAGGCACTGCTTAGTTTTTGTTAAGGCGATTGTATGTGTGTTTCCAACTTAATGTTAATCATCAAACTATTGATTTAAAACTTTTTTAAACAAAATTTGTTAATTTTGTTATATTGCCACATTCAAAATGTGATATATAATTAATCCAATAGAGTTAGACGAATATTCTGTAAAAACCCTCTGGTTGTCGAGATTACTCCATCAGATCCCAATTCGGATCCACTATGTTAAGGAGACCCGCATCCAGTCTGGGACTGTCAGCGGTAGCTACAGCTCCTAGTTGTAATCGACCGGGAAAAACAGTGTGGTCCCCGTTTTTGGGTTGGAAATGATGAAAACAGTCCTAATCAGTTGAGAACAAAAAACCGATTCTAGTAGTTGCTAATTAGATCAATGTAAAGACCCAGAAGAAACAAATAAAACTGTCTCCAATCAATCAAGGATTTGAGGGACACTTAACGAGACTTGTCCAAATTATGCGATATTTAAAGTGACTGAGTATGGACGATGGCTTGCTGTGCGATAGTTGTCACTCATGGCATCATAGGGACTTTCTTGAAGACATCTGTAAAACAGATTACAAGAAAATGAGTGAAAGCAACATGATGGAATATCTATGTACAAGATGCCTAAAAACAACAATCAAAGGACGCTGATACTGTGGTAGAAGAGGCAAAGACGTGCTGTTTCCCAGGATCATGATAATGTAAGTGAATCCATCTCGATTAAAAAATTAGGTCCATGGAATAGTTGGGAAGTTCTTGACAAATGTGAGGAAAATATATTTGTGTTATAGTTTAAATGGAGAAGAAACATATTTTTGCTTCCCTCAGGGGCAAGCAGGAAAAGCTATTCATCGAAGAAATGACATAAAGTGGCCGACAATTTCACATCAGGCAGTTGCTATGGAATCAGTGACCATCACCATTTTGATAATTGCCATACACTGCTGTTGCAGAAGAACCTCAAAGAGGTCAAAGCATGGAACACACTGAATTGTTGAAGAGAAGACTTGATTTGTGGCAGGAGGTAAGCTAGAAGAGCATCTGCAGGAGAGGACCCTAGGAGATTATGCTGGAGATTGGGAAAGGGGAAAAATAAACATGGCATGTTGAGAGGGTCTCACTCGACTCATGATGAAAGAAAAGTCAGTGCAGCAATGCGGTGTGTGGATTGGTAGAAAATGCCACCGGGATTCTTGAACTACTCCAGATGTGATAAAAGGCTGAAAGAGAGCATACCAAGGCATCTCCTGCATCAAAGGGTCAGTGTCTGACGTGGAACAGTGAGGAGGGTCTAGGCCGTTATATTCGACGTTGAAGGGGAATCGATAAGACAAAGCAGCAAAGAGAGTACAGGGTGCTGCAGGGACTTCAGGGATGGATGCGGATGCATGGAAGTGACTACTGTGTTCTAAACAGTTTTGGTATGAAGGGTGTGGACTCTATGTAATGCCATAGCAGGGCTAGCAAGGAAAAACTATGTTGTCCGGAATTGGATCCTAACGCTGTTGCCTTCATTGACAGCATGTGACTTGTCCCCCTGGATCAAAAAAGCCTGGAGTCAGGCAGTAGGCATAGGGTGAAGTGCTTTAGAAGGATAATAGGGAAATACAGTAATGACCCTCCTACTGAAAGATATGGTTGGAGCACCACTGCTTCCTATTCAATTTGTGCTGCGTCTTAGGGAGGAGTGGGAAGCAGCAGTCCCTGCTGCAGGACTGTTTGAATACCCTGAAAATGAAGATATCATCTTAGTGATGCAGAGACTGCATTCAACTTGCAGACGAGCGGTGCTCTCAACAACATGAAACATCGTTTGTCCAGAAGTTGCTACTTTCATTATGGAAACACCTACAGAATGCCTGCTGACTGTTCATTGTAGGAGGAGATGAGCCATCTTTTTAGTGAAGAAGGGACCACACAAGGTGATTCACCTGCCATGGGATTTTATGCCTCTGTGTACATATAACCATTGATTGATGCAGGAAACATGGAGAAAGGTGACTCAGATCTGGTATGCCTGATCGACTCTGCTGCGGGGGGAAAACTGGTAGGAAATAAGGAAGTGGTGGGATAACTCTGTATTAAGGACCACTCTTTGGATACAACCCTAAATCTTCTAAACAGGGGTGATAGTCAAGCCTGAGCACGAAGAGAAGGCAAGAACCTATTCCAGATGTCAATGTGACAGCATTGGTCGACGATATCTGGGCAGCTTCATCGGAACAGACCAAGGAAAAGAGGCTTTCATTGAGGAAAAAGTTCAAGAATGGTCGTTGTTGATCTTAAACAGTTAGTGATATAGCATCAAGAGAACCTCAAATGCATTACAGTGCATTCATGTATGGGCTTAGTAAAAGATGGAACTATGTGTGCAGAACTCCCCCAGGAGTTGCAGATAGGCTCACTCCTCTAGTAGAAAAGTAAAACACGTGATGAGTAGATTCACAAGCTATCATTAACAGGCTGTTTAGCTGCACTGTGAAACTAAGGAACATATTGGCTCTTAACCACCAAGAATATGGCAGGATTGGGGGTATACCAGTTTGTTGGAAATGGCTGACGAGAGTACAATTTTCTCAGTAGAGCCACAAAACCCCTTATAGAAAGCTATTCTCAAAGCAGTTAGACAATACCAGGGCTGGAGGACATATTAAAGGAGTGGAAAACTGAGATAACGACAGAACGAAATCTATTTTATTCGACAAAACAAGCAGAAATACGCCGGAGCTCGAGTAACACCACTGGCAAAGTTGACTGTTCCAAACTAGCGGCTGAGAAGGGGCAAGTGCTTGGTAACAAGCCAACTACCTTTAAAAGAGTATGGTTATATGATGAATAACAACAGTTCTCAGATGCAAATAGCTTCTCGATTACAACCTGAAACTTAACGGGGACTGCCCTAAAACATGTACGCGTGTGGCCAGAAATACTCAGCAACCATGCGATCATCTGCCAAACTTGGTGGATATGTGTCACTGCGGCACAAATCGCTGAGAGAACCTTGCAGAAATAATGAGGAACTGTGAAATGCAAGGATGGCAGCTGGGCCAGTTCTTCTTCAGTTGATGGTCTAATTACCAAACGGGAATCAGTCTAGGAGACCCAAGCCAGCGGGACATTCTCTGGCAAGATTCGATTTGGAATGCTTCAGAGAGGGCATTTTTTTGGTATGTAAGGGTATTTCATGCCCAGCCCCCTCCAATGCAAGCAAATACCGATACAAGCAATGTAACTGTCCATGAAAATGAGAGAAAGCGATATGTTACAACTTTGCAAGGGTTCTTGAATTGGGGGGGGGGGGGGGGGGGGGGGGGAGTGGAGAAAAGGAAGCCTTCACACCTTGTGTTCTCGAATTCTGGTGATATGGGTGGTTGAAGCCTGGAGACTGGTCAAGAAGCTGGCCAGTAAGATGCGAAGTACCACATGGCAAGAGGGTACTCAGACGCTTGTAGGATACATAAGAAAGCGCACTTCGCTTTGAAATCCTAGAACATACCCACAAGTGGGAAAAAATGTTTTTCCTTTTTCTTCCGTGGAGGACAGAGGTGCGAGAAAAAACATTTAGATATAAACGTCTAGATCTTATCTTGGTGCCACAAGTCCAAGGGTAAAAAATTTTTTGATTGTTAAGGAATTTTTTGAAATTCTTAATGGGTTTGATTTACTATAGTGTCATTTGCTAAATTATGTGTATATTGTTTGGGAATATTTTGTTTTTTTTAAAAAAAAACCTTAGGGTTTGTTGATATACAGTACGTGTCGACTAGAGTAGGTGTCGAACTTGAGTATGTATACCGAATTTACATGGGTTAAATCATCTTCACACCAGTTAACTGTGCAACCAACTACAAAGGTTCCTCCAAAATTGTAAACAGTGGCAATATCCTTTTTTTCATTCAATTTTCTCAATGTTATCATAACAAATTACGATCTTTAAGGTCAACCATCAAGATTTAAGGTTTGCTTTGCCGGGACATCTTATACTGCATAGCCCTTTTAATTTTTCATTCTTAGATACAGCAAAGAAAGAGATACATTGGCCGGTGTTTTGTCAACCACTACGTAAAATATGACCCGAACATTCTCCATCTAATCTTCTTGCTCTGAGAGGGGGTTTGAACTCACAATTTCTTAAAAAGCTCACGAAACTTTTTGTTTGCCCTGGTTTCACTAATCAGCTCAGATCCTGTCCGTGTCCAAGTCCCTCGTTCAGGAATTTCAGATGGCCGGCTGTTTTCCTCTTCCATGGCTCCACTTCCTGAAAATAGTCATGTGTTAATCATTCTCGATTGGTGATCGGCTATGAAAGAGATTTAAGGCACTGTGGTCACTTAAGACAGTGGATAAAGATGTATATGTATTAATCGTTTCACTGAAGAAACGTTGAGGTTGAAGAAAACTTGAGTGGCAGTTCAAAAGAATATTATACTTATTTGTGGTAAGTTTGTTATGATACAGTATGTCTAGGACAGACTAATCTTGTTTGGAAAATAGTTTTTCGGGGTCATAGGAGCGGGTTATAAGGTATGGATATGACGTCTCTAATTCACTTCCCAAGGTTCATCAACCTTCGGATTTAAAAAAATTTAAGATTATGCTGGGCCTGGTTGGCCCACGGAGAGGTTGCATGTCGGATGCTTTTGCCTACTCATGGGGTATGGCAGCAGTCTTATGGGAGGATGCCGGTGGAATCAGATTGTTTAGTAAATGATGTGGTAAGTGTTGCTGGGGTGTAGTCCATAGATGAACGCTCAGTGGTGGCGGTGTGAAGAGAGAGGCGACTAAGACGACGTGTAAGTAGTTGCTATGTTACAACCAGTTCTGGTCCAGCTCTCTGGGCACTATTAACCATTTAGTGTGGTTTGCAAAGTTGACGATGGTGGAGATGTGTCGGTTGTCGAGTATGTCATGACAGAGAGGTAGTTGTCCAGGAAATATTGACCTCTTATTTTGGGAACATTCCTTTTAATTTTTTTTTTTTTCCCCCCCCCCCCCCCAACCCATCCTTCGGATGTGGTCATAAACAACTTAGTATACCGACGATTATAAATCTGCGATTAGCTAAATAATGTAGGTGAAGGGTGATGAAGTAACATAATTGTGAGGTGACTGAGTGATCAGCGTGGTGAAGCTGATGTGAAGAATGGAAGACCTGGAATATTCCTTTTCATTCCATGCTCGATGCTAGTTCAACTTTGAATGAAATTATTCCAATTTTGGTCAATTACATTTTTTTACTTTTAGGGGAAGCAATGACAAAATGGAGTTCATCAAATGGTAAGTTATCTTTAGTGGATGATTTATTTGGCCACATTTGTGCCAATACAGTATCAAATCCTTTAAAAACAGTCAAAATTGGTATGAAAGAAATCATTTGAACGCACTGGATTGACAATCGCCAGATAACCAATGTCTTTTGTTGTCTTAATAAAACACAGATTTGTCAGGTATGTAGTATAAGTATTTTGTATCCTAGTTTTGAGCAGTAAACCAAGCCATTCATAATTTAATATTTCTCAATTTTTAAATTTTTTTACACAACTGTTTGGCTTATGTTCTTAATTCCCTTAATAGATCTCATTCTGTGCTAGGTTTGACGAGATTGGAGAGAAAAAAAACGAGCTGTTCGATTACACTGTCGGACATACTTCAGTCACATTAGTCTACCATGTTTAACCCCATGTTTGTCATAACATGTGAACACAACATACACGGTGACATGGACTGAAGTCAGTACTGGAGGAGCTATTACACCAAGGTTCTTCTTTTTAAAAGACTCCCTCTTGATTATATTTGTCTGATCAGGCTGCAATAATACTGTTAAAGATAACATAACTGTCAATATGGAAACTTTGGACAGTTTTTTGAGGTATTTTTGTAGTATTGAGTTTGTAGTACATGACAATTTGTGTCTGTTCAGTTTATAATTCGGAGTTACAATGCCTCTGTTTGGAGTTCAACTTTTACTTCATATATCTTTTGATATGAGCACCATTTGGACACAGATTTTATTTCATGTTGGATGACTCTTCCATGACATTCTCAAAATGTAGGCTTCTTAGATTACTTCGATTGGAACTGTTTATGATAACTTTCTTATTATTAATTATTTACTATATAAAACAGTACTAAGATCAAGAGGGTATGTTGAGAAATCAAGAAGAGCCATCAGAAGACGGGGAACTCAACTAAAAAAGAGTCGTTTCTTCAGGAGGTGTTATGTGGCGAGTCAACACCCATGCTTTCTAACCTTTTCATGCGATGATAACTCAGAGTGTGAGTAAAACTCAGATTGACATAATTAGTAGTGGTGTATAATTCAATTAATTAGTAAGATCTTATCAGAGGATAAAGTGTGGCCCGTAAAAATGTGGATGTAACATAAAATTTGTGTAATCAATTCTTGCAATTTGGAATTATGAAGAAACAATTTCATAACACAAGAATTAGCCAAATTGTATCGGGCCACGTTTACCACATAATTGGGGGTTTTCACAATTTGACCCACCTTCGCCTAATACAGTTGAAGAATTATCATGAATATTTCAAATTTATTTGGGCAAGAGTTTTGTTCTATTATGATCATACGGACCCTTATGAATAGTTATTTGAATCAGCATACACGAGTGTACATACAAATCCTTCTGCCCAGGTAGAATTTATAAAGAACATGTTTGATGAAGGAGCAGGAGAGGTTGTGTGCGTTATACTGCTTATTAATAAACCAGATAGATGGTGGACATGTCGCAGTGTTCCTCGAGTGCTTTCTAGATCAAGGTGATCTACAGTAACTCACGAGACATTTTTTTAAATTGATTATAGATTTTGTGGGGTATGGTAGTTATTATCTTTTTGGGGTTTCAGATTAGGGTCTTAGGTTAGGTGTTCTGAAGGTCGGTGCTCGAAGTTAACTTAAAGGGAAACTGTACAACATTACTACATTATAACGTAATATGTGATCTGTAAATTAGATTTTTGATTATCAATTGTCATATTTCAGATTCTTCACGCATGAGGAACAAGAGTCCGACCATTGTTCCATTGCAGAAAAGTTATTCTTGATATTCTGACTGATGTTTTTAGGTAAGAAAATAAAACGCAGATGTTCATAAAGTATTCAGCTTGATTAATGTCAGATATAATATAATATGTTATACGTTTCACAAGACTCGTTCTCTAAATAATCATACCCAATTTTATTTTATTCGATGCGCTTGTGAACTTTACGTGGTTGGTTCAGTAAGCAGCTTGATTCAAATCCCCTGAACAAACTTGTTGTTAACGATAGTGATTTCCTCACGAAATTGCCGAAAACTTCTTATTGGTGATTAGGTCACTTTTGGATTTGTTGCAAGGTTTAGGACTGTAAGATAGCTTGAAAATCTTGTGAAAATGTCATTTGATTGCTGACTCGCAAGAATGTATTTCATTCCAACCGGCGGAAGAGAGATCAAAACACACGACTGATACACCAAGATGGTCGCTTAGTGTTCAGGTTTCAGTTTTCCTCGCTTTACGAAATGTATACATAAGCTAGACCAATCGTACAACCCCAGAATTTATAAATTCCTGGTGCATGGACAATGTAAACAAAATAGAGGTACGAATACGCATCAAGATGCTCCACTCTTCTTTGAAAACATGTGCATCGCATATATTTCGGGACTGAATAGAATTAACTCCTGATACATGATACAACGTATCCAAGTATGGGGCAGCGCTGCTAGCCAAATAAAACCATGACTATGAAGTAGCTTGTCTAGTTAATTCGTCATTCTTGTAGGAAACGGAAAAGCGAGGCAAGTTGCTTTGCTAACATTAAGTGAAACAGAGGGAAAAATTACTCACGAAAAGAAGATTGTTACAAAAAAATACTGATATGAAACAGTTTTGATCACCAAGACATATCGTTTCCCGTCTATATGTTGATAAGTTTGTCTAGCACCGTACAATCCACATCCCATATCAGCCTTGACTGCTAGGTTTCCCTATGATTACCAAGTGTTATTTCTGTCCGCTTTATGATTTCTTCTTTATGGCTATGAGAAACTATCCGATTTCCTAAATAGCGAGGTGGTGGTAGAGATGGTACAATACTGATAGAAGGTAGCGCTCAACGGTACTTGGAGTTGTTTCAGTCATTACCTTTCTTTAGGGGATTGTTTTGAAGTTATTGAAGTGTGAGCTGTTGGTCTAGTTTAGACTTGTGTGTGCTAATTTATATTTACAACTGTAAATTTAGACCTGAAAAGTTTTCAGCGCAATAATTAATTAACGAAAAAAAGTGTGATTTTTGAATGTTTCTTGATAATTTTACCACCATTGTCTCACTGTGAAATGTCGTGTAAACGCTTCTTCGGACTACTTCCTAATTGAGCTGAAGAAAATAACTGATCGTCAATTGTCATGTACCCATAGAGTGTATTCTCAATTAACAAGCATTGTAAGTCACTACATCATATCGCTCAAAAACCAGAGTGCCCATATGTTATGCATGTCGGAGCCATGAGCATAATAGTGAAAAAAAAATGGTGTGCACTGCAAATGAAAAGGATTGACAAGCTCATGTCGTTTTTGCTTGAGCAAGATTCCACCATGGTACGTGTGTGGGGACTGGGAGGACCTTCACATGTCAAACAGACACAAGCTTTGAAATTATGGTCTGATAAAAACCATCTGAGAAATCTTAGGTGCACCTGCGATTTGCATGAAATGCAATGAACGAAAAGAATTCACGTGTGTGCGTCGCTCGATAAATTCAGTATTAAATATGTAAAACACAACATTTTAATTTAATACAATAATTGTAAGTAAAAACAAACTTTTCAAGTAAAAATAATTTAAGATTATATTGCCATATTGCAACCAAAATATTTAATATCATAATAACCTAGTCAAACTTAAAACATCGCTAAGAAACTCATGAAAATTAGATATATTATGTAAAAATACTTTTTTACTATATATTATCGGGTGATACTCATTAAAAAATATTTGTTTCAACTCGATCGGGGCGCGCATCTGGCAGGTTATAAACCTACAAACTCTATTACTCGAACATTGATTACTCAATCATAAATTTCTATCATAATAAGCGCGGCGTGCTAGCACTTAATTATATGTCAGCGCCGAGCCTATACTTATCAAAAATAAAATAAATTTCTTAAGCAGGAGGCGAAAGTTATTTTAAAAATATTTCATTAATGGATTGAATTTGAAGGTTTAAATTTTCATAAATCTATAGTCCCATAATCTTTG